AGAAGGGTGATTGTAACCACAGTGAATACATTTGGGACGAGGTTTGTCCTTTTGATATGTGGAGTATGGTGGTTTACGGGAATTTGTTGGATAAGGAGAAGTGTTGTCAAATAGAAATTAACAACAACCAATTTAAAGTAAATCTAAAGTAAAGCTGGATATTGAGCGATAAGAGCTTGCGAATTATAACAGGAAAATGAAAGTTTTCTATAAGGTCTTATTCTTGTCTGTCGTGTCTGGAGAATTTTTAATCTTCTCCTTTTATATTTACGTACAATATCTATCTGTATAATAATCATTACACTTTGAAGGGTCAAAGGCGGTCTTTGTCTGCTTTTCTTGATAACCTGCCACTTGGACAAATGTAATGATGACTTATGCTGAGTTGTTGCCGCCTTACCATGCTGAGGTGGCACGTTATAGATATCGGTTCATCCAGCTATAACCGACAGGTCGTGACCGACATGTGTTGACCGACATGTGTTGACCGACATGTGATATTGGTTATAACGGAGACGTCGGTTTTTGTTGAATCTTTCATCATGCGGTTGTCTTGAAGCCGGTGGATGTGTCACATTCTTGCATGAACCTTAATTATCATTATACTGATCCCAATCGGCGGATTATCGTCACCTAATTTGGCTTACTGAAAATAATGTCAACAAGGTGGCCCCCAGCATTACTGGTCGTCTGGACACAAGACGGACAGTGATGCTGAAACTTTAACAGGACGTAGCTGAATTTTTTGCATTAACGTAACATGTCGGTTCTGTTATCTGCATCCGACGTCTTCACACTTGTAAGAATGGCACTTGAAAGTTGAAACCGTGCGCTTTACTGAAATTAATTGCACCGTTTTATCAGTAGGAATAACGGTCACTTAAAATAGACCACGTAGCTGTTATAAAGAGGCACGACTCCCAAGGGTCGCGTCGACTCGCAGATCCAGAACGTGTAATTCACGCGCCCCTATTCCTATCGGTTCTCAACGGTCGCTTTGAAATTTAGGGTTTGGTATAAATAGAAATTTTTCTTTTGAGATCTACTTTACTTTTATCTTCTTCTTGCACTCATATTTTTGGCTTCCTTTGCAAATTAATCGTCTGTCATCCGTACTCAAAGCACTTCAGATTCACGAACGAGTTCCTGTGGTAAGAATTCTTCATCATATTTCATTTATTTACGCCGACTTTTCCTTCTCTTTTTCGACATCATGAGTGTATCCTGGGCATCTTCGGGCGACGACGAGTTGGATGTGATGATGATTAACATGGTTCACTCTGGAGAGTTAGAGCTATTATCTGAGTACAACCGGTGGGACCCAGTGTTCGTTGAACGGTTTAAGATCCGGCTGAATGATAGTGAAGGGGATAAAGTTGTTGAGGAAAACGCCGTCGACGACTCAAGATTTTGGAAACGACCTATCAGGAGATGGCCAAACCCGGAAATAACATCCCATGGCGAGCCGAGTATTCTCACTGACGCCGACATCGTTATGCTGCGGGGAGAAATTCGAGTCCCGTCGTCGGTACACCTATTTGCCCCATATCCAGGTGAAAGGATCACATGCCCTCCACCCAACTGCGTCGGAGTGTTTGCTGAGAGCCTAAGATCGGGCTTACGATTTCCTCTGCCACGCATAATCACCGAATATTTGTGGGATTGGGAGTTTCCGATATGCCAAATCGCTCCGAATTCTTGGAAACGAATTATTGGGTTGCTGGTACTTTTTGCCGAGAAAAAGTGGGATCTGCCGTCGGCAAAGGACATAAGAAGCATGTTCACATTCCGAAAGAGCCCAGATAGACAAGTGTCAGACCCACTTCTCACCTTTTCCATTGTCGGTAAACCGCAGCCGAGGGTTAAAGTTGGTGAGCTAATAATGGAGGTCCCCGATACTCTACATGGGTTCCAAGAGGAGTGGTTGTGGGTCGGGGGAGATTGGCAGTGCCCCGACTTCGCTAATGATCTTCTTGCCGACGGGATAAGCGTCCCAATGGCCACTAAATCTGGTTATTGTAAGTTGTTTCCATTTTCTTCACTTCGGTTATTAATATTTTGTTTTTTTGTTGTCGCTAACAGGTGGACTTTTGTGACCTTGTAGCAAAACCAACCGGGAAGAAAGAGCCGAAGTTTGAAGGTCTATTATACGATCGAGTAGACAAATTGTTTGAAGTGTCTGCCAACAAACGACGATATCAACGACTTGTGAAAGATTCTCGCTTAGAGTTGGCTGGATTGTCTCCTGGAGTACTTGATTCTTCATTTTTACCAGGTAATCTTCTCCACTTACTTCGTTTATCTCATATCATTACTCATGTTAACGACATCGTCCTAACTTTAAACTTACTGTAACAGTCTATTACCCGTTATTGGGATACCTCAGTTGATCGGAGATTCTTGTTTTTTCCGACTTTGTTTTTTAAGTCCCAGTTCGGATTACGTCTCCGATGCTCTTCAGCTTCTGTAGGATATCCGAAACCGAAGTATCCCAATAACGGGTAATAGAAAAACTGTTTGTTATTGGAGTTGATTGGCTCTGGCCAGGGTGAGTTGCGTGGTCTCGACCAGATTGTGACATAATGACTCTGAATGTGAAAATGGCTTTAAAGGTGGAAATTCACTACAACACACAACGGAGGTTCAGGCGGCCCTTCCTCTAGCGCCAAACTGTTGTCAAATAGAAATTAACAACAACCAATTTAAAGTAAATCTAAAGTAAAGCTGGATATTGAGCGATAAGAGCTTGCGAATTATAACAGGAAAATGAAAGTTTTCTGTAAGGTCTTATTCTTGTCTGTCGTGTCTGGAGAATTTTTAATCTTCTCCTTTTATATTTACGTACAATATCTATCTGTATAATAATCATTACACTTTGAAGGGTCAAAGGCGGTCTTTGTCTGCTTTTCTTGATAACCTGCCACTTGGACAAATGTAATGATGACTTATGCTGAGTTGTCGCCGCCTTACCATGCTGAGGTGGCACGTTATAGATATCGGTTCATCCAGCTATAACCGACAGGTCGTGACCGACATGTGTTGACCGACATGTGTTGACCGACATGTGATATTGGTTATAACGGAGACGTCGGTTTTTGTTGAATCTTTCATCGTGCGGTTGTCTTGAAGCCGGTGGATGTGTCACATTCTTGCATGAACCTTAATTATCATTATAATGATCCCAATCGGCGGATTATCGTCACCTAATTTGGCTTACTGAAAATGATGTCAACAAGAAGGTTGCTTGAGTGAGTTGTTGGCTGGGTAAGTAGAAGTAGATTTGAATGATGTTTGTTTGTTGAATGGAGGTTTATTGTGAGAGTAAGAGGATTGATGAGATTTTGCCAACATAGCCATAGAATCAGCAGGTTTAGTATTAGAGAGAGACCGTTGGCTTTCTTCCTGTAACAATAGAGAGTAGACAGTGGATAGAGAAGGAATCGGTTTGGACAATAGGAAATGGCTCCTAAGGGAAGAGTAGGAGTCATGAAGGCCAACCAAGAACTTAAGAACAGAGTCTTGCTGTTGTGCAACAGCCATTGCTTCAAACAGATCACATGAACAGTTAACAAAAGCACCACAAGTACATTTGAATAAAGGACGGTAAGTAACATATTCATCCCAAAGTGATTTAAAATTGTTATAATACTGTGTGATGGACAAGGAACCCTGATCAATAGTGCTTAAAGACTTTTCCAACTGAAAAACCCTAGGACCAGTGCTCATAGCATATCTAGTGCGAATTTCATCCCAGACATCGCGTGCAGAAGTAAAAAACAATAGAGATTGACGTATGTCTTTAGAAATAGAATTCAACAGCCACGAGAGAACAAGATTATTTGCTCGATTCCAAGCAAGATAGAGAGCAGGATTACCAGTAGCAGATGGAATAGTAACAGATCCATCGACAAACCCGATTTTATTTTTGACAGACAGGGCCATGGTGACCGCGCGGCTCTAGGAAACGTAGTTGTCGCCGTTGAAGGTGTCCGCCACGATTAGAGCGCAGGGATTGTCACTAGGATGCAGGTAGAAAGTCGATGAGGGATCGTCAGAAGGATTGACCGCCATAGCGATGAATTTAGGGTTACGAGCACAGATCGAAGCACAAATCGAACAAAATATGAAAAAGTAAGAGATCAGAAAGAGGATTCAGAGTGCAGAAGCGTCAGAGAACAGGAATTTGCTGGCGAATGATACCATATTAACATCAATGGAGGAAAGATTTACACAAGTTTTACAGAGAGAAAGAGAGGGGAGATGAACGACTGTTTGTGTTCTGAGCATGAAAAATTATATTAATATTCACCAAAGTATAATATTAGTTAAAAAAAAGTTATTATGACAAGTATCATTTTAAATACAAATAATAATCTAAGTTCGTAAGAATGGTTTAAAATGTAAATAAAAAAACTTCCATTTATGTATATACACATGTATAATTCGGAGTAGTCAATACATTTATCCATAATTATTAGGACTTTTAAAATTATAATGCACTTGATTAGTTTAAATCGTAAATATGTTTAAAGTTAAATACCTTTTTTATTTGATATCAATTTTTTATATATAATATATCAAATAAATAATTTTATTTTTTTATTATAAAATTAAGCCATCTTTAATACTTATTGAAAACTACTACGATTATATATCAATTGAAAAAAGCATCTATATATGCGCTACATTTGAATTAAAAATATTATTATAATATAAGACCGAAAAATCGTTTAACTAAAAAAAATATCATTTTAAATATAAAAAATAATATAACTTTTGAAAAATATTTGAAATTTAAATAGAAAAATATCATTTAAATATAAAAGTATTCTGTAGTTCAGAATGCAATGCAATTGATGAATCGTATGTTTTCTCTTATGTTCCCGTGTGTAAATGTAAGCCAACTTTACAACTGGACAAACACAATCACCATCAAAATAAATATCCACAAAAAAAAGGTAAAAAATGGAAAAACTGAAACATCCATCCACTTTTTAAGGTTAAAATTGTGATGACGTGGATGGTCGATCTTCTTGCTTCTCAATTAGCACGCATCTTGATGGCGGCCCAAACATGCTCAATATCACCTACAACAACACCCAACACAAACTAGTTAGCCACATGACAAAAACTTTGAGTTAATTTTAGTAAGAAATACAATTGTCTAATTTATAGAATAAAATTAAGAGGAGATTCTACGGTCTTGTTACGAAACCATTTCGTCGGGATTTGTAACCGTTAGATCAACTATCCACGACGGCTACATTATGATCTAACAATTACAAATCCTGACGAAATGATTCCGTAACGGAACTGTAGCATTTCCCAAAATTAAGGGGAATCATATTACAGGTAAGAAGACTAGGCCATGCAAGAAGCCCAGAAGAACCAAAGCAAGATACATTTTGAAATAGTACACCTGCAAAACCAGAAACCAATTTCAAAAGTAGAGAACAAAAAATATATATAAAAAAAATGGCTGTGGTAAAATTGCAACTTTGTCATGTTGGATTAACGCCATAGCATTTTTATTCCCAAGAATCCAACTTTTTTTTTTATCTTGTAATTTAGTATTTTGTTGCAATTTCAGTCCTAAAAATTTAAAATTACAAGACCAGAATTGCTAATAAAAAATACATCCCAAAGAATTTTTTTATTAGCAATTTAAGTCTTATAATTTAAAATTTTATTGCAGTTTTAGTCCTCAAAGGACTGAAATTGCGTTGAATTTTAAAATCATGGGACCAAATAACAAAATGTTCAAATCTTGGAATTAAAAACGCCACTGGCTCTCTACTCGAATTGCTTATCACAGCCTGCAAAAGATTAGATACCACAAAAACTTCCGTCCTTGAAAAACATAGAACGAGCACCCCAACTAGCTTCGTGAGTGTGATTCCACTGAAAGGCGAAAAAACAAAAAAAAAGTGAGGAAGAATTTTGCAAGTTGAACATTTGATCGGAAGTCTGAGACGGATTCTGCGAATGTTGAATAAAGTAAATTCATCAAGCAATTTGTTCTGCAAGAGAAAGAAATCTAGCAAGGCTAACGCCGTGATGTTTTTGAGGCTTTCTTTGTGTTCTATTTTCTAAGTTCAGGCAACTTGTGTCTTTTTTTTTTAAAAAAAAAAAAGTGACACACAAGTGAAAACAAACCTGAATACAGAAGCTCCCATTGTTGCTAGAGATTCTTTCATCCGTTGATTCCTATCTCCACCCGCAACCTGCCGTAAAAAATGTAAAATGCCTTTTCATGTGTCGAAATATTTTACAGTATTTCGGCAGAAAAAGGAAAGAAAAGTCTAGGCAAAACACAAAAGTTTTCAGGTTCAGCGCTCGAGTATCTGTTCTGTGTACATCTTTTTCAGACAATTCACTTGTTTGCAATAATATTGCAACAAAGTATTATTATGGGCATCCCAAGTTGAAGAAGATGATTATGTTCACACAGGGACACAACAACAATCTTGATTTGCAGAGTAAGAAATCTAACCAAGAAAGCATGTGTTATGTGAACGCAGAACTCGACTGCAATACCCACTGACATCACAAGGTTCACGACTGACAAAGCGTTCAGCTGGATGTTTAAAATTGCCATTATGCCCTGCAAAAAGGTGCAATTTCATAAATGAGAATGAGATAAAACTGTCAAACCTTGCTGCAAAGTGTATATATTAGAGACGATTATCACGGGAAAAAATTTTGAACGAAAACGTACCAAAAGATCCACAACAATCATTGCCAAAACAAGAAGGATTATTGCTGAAGTCCAGACACTATAAATAAAGAGAGATCAAAATAGGAAACGGAATAAATGCTACTATTTTTTGGTAAAGAAAAAGTGGTTAGTTAATATTAAATCGGCGAGAGTAAATTACTGACCTGCAGGTGATTACAAAGCAAACAACAAAAACTGCCCCTGTATTATGTAAATGTACAAATAATCACAAGAATATCACAATTGAGTGAGAAGTGAAATTGCACAAATAATCACAAGATTATCACTCAAAAGCAAAATAACTAACCGATTGCTATCGCGAGGTTGGTCAGAGCTGTCTTCCATATGTCAAGGTATTGCTCGAAGAACATATAAAACACGGAATAAGGAAACATGTCGATCTGAAAAATAGATAACATAAAAACGTAAACATATATATTCTCGAATTCGTCACACCCAAATTTCTAACCCATTTGTTCAGTTGTCAAGGTCAAATACCTTTAAAGAATCAGACATCCTCGCGCTAAAATCTCTAGCAGCCCTCATTGAGTTGATAAAGTCAGCCTGTAAACAACAGATTTTGTACAAAGTGAGTTTATTTATGAAAACATGAAATAGTAGAAGAATATAGCAAGAGAAAAAAAAAAAAAAAAAAAAAAAAAAAAAAAAAAAAAAAAAAAAAAAAAAAAATAAACTTCCAGATAAAAATGTACCTGTTTATTTAGAGGGGTGTGATAGGTCCGAAACGCTGAGGCTCGAATAGTGCCATCCTCAAGCCCTATAAATATGTCAGATAAGGCAAACGGATCAGGAGTGTCTCGGTAAGCTAAGTCAATATGTATTTTCTGAGTGACGAAAAAAATCTCCACCTGTGAGCTCGACATTGGTGGTATAAGCCCCATTTCCACCTTTAGCACAATCAGCTGAGGGCAAAGCATTGAGGAACCATGGCAGCTTTTCCCTGAATTGTGCTGTTGATGGACGATCATTTTGTAACTCCGAGTGACGGAAACACTAGAAAAAAAATATGTATAAAATTCGAATCTTAGTCACTATGATTCTCCGCCAAGTCATTTGCAGTGAATAATAATTGGTCCATGATCGCTCTATACTTGATTAGGGAGTGTACATGAACATGTGTTTCTACAATATTTCTTACTAAATATATACAAAGTTGCAAAGAGATTTAATAAAATGGTGTATATCAATTGACATTAAATTTAAAGTGTCAAATGGTTCAACTTACTGTAGTACAGTCACGGCAAACTGGGCTGAGTCCGCAAGAACTATCACTTGATGAACAACAAGGAGGCTGAGAAAAATGTTCAGTCAAATTGTAGGAAAATCCATGACACGTATATCTATACTACTTTAAATGGAGGAGTGTTTTTGTAAAAATTCATAATGCCTAAAAAACCCTTATACTTTAAAAGGAGGAGTGTTTTTGTAAAAATTCATAATGCCTAAAAAACCCTTACTTTGATATAAATTTAATGGCAAATTAGTAATACACTAATACACATCATATTTTATTTATATTTTTAATTAAAAAATGAACTACCTAAAAAACCCTTACTTTCACATGTTTTTAATGGCAAATTGGTAATATACTAATGTCATCATATCTTATATCCTCCATATATATAATTTACATAACTTTAAACAAAAATAATATAATTAAATATAAACCTTCTAAAAATATACTTATCGATGTAATCGAACTGAGTTGTTAAACGCTTGTTAGTTTTTGTTCTTATTAATTTTATGTGTAAATTTGAGGTGATAGACAATAGTTATTTTTACATTTATATATGTAGATTAGAAAAAATATATTTATTGTTCTAATTTTAAACAACTTTTTTATTTACTATATTAGTTTTTTTAATATAATATATAAGTATCATATTGAACAGATAAAACAAGAAATATTTTAATTATATAATATTTAATATGTAAGAAATGTAACTCAATTGGTAAATTAATAGGTAATCTTGGGATAAAATAATGAGTGTTTTTTGAAAAAAAAAATAAAAATTATAGGAACTAAAAAGTTCACTTGTTTAATATATTTTTAATAGAAAAATTGTAAACACAATTACACAATATATACTACATAAAAATATAAGAAATCTTATATCATCCCTATATACAATTAAAAAACATAACTTTTCTCAATTCAACATAAGCAAATCAATGAAAATAATATATTTTTAAAAATTTTATGAACAAAAGTTGACTCGACAATATTATTAATGAATTTATGAATTGAAAGTATTTAATTATATTATTAATTAATAAATTGTAATTAAATATATATAATATAGGATATACAAATATTTGATATATAATGAGGCAGATGATCGAAAAAATTTTATACTTTATATTATGTGTTTTTTTGACAAATCTACAGTTAACAATATGTGAAAGAACAAGATAAAGTTTTTAAAAAATATTAAATATAAGAAATAATACGAAAAATAACTAAGTTGTGATACGTACTAATAAATATAAAACAAACTAATAAACAAAAATAATATAATTAATATAACAAAATATAAACCTTCTAAAAATATATTTATTGACGTAATCGAACTGAGTTGTTAAACGCTTGTTAGTTTTTTGTTCTTATTAATTTTATGTGTAAATTTGAGGTGATAGACAATAGTTATTTGTGCATTTATAAGTATCATATTGAACAGATATAACAAGAAATATTTTAGTTATATAATATTTAATATGTAAGAATTGTAACTCAATTGGTAAATTAATAGGTAATCTTGGGATAAAATAACGAGTGATTTATGAAAAAAAAAATTATAGGAACTAAAAAGTTCATGTGTTTAATATATTTTTAACAGAAAAATTATAAACACAATTACTTAATAAATACTCCATTAAAAATATAAGAAATCTTATATCCTCCCTATATGTAATTAAAAAAACATAACTTTTCTCAATTCAACATAAGCAAATCAATGAAAATAATATATTTTTAAAAATTTT